AAAAGATATGAATGGGGAGTTCTACACACAAGAAAAAACAATAGGCTTTAACACATGTAAAAAGGTGCCCAAATTTACAATATGAGGAAAAAATTAAAATTTCTCTGAAACATTATTCACTGACCGTTTCAGCAGGTGTTAGTAATAGAGGAAACAGGATCCCTTCTACTTTGCTATAAGGACTATAAATAGCTACAAGCAATTTCAATCAAAACTATGAATGGATGTATCTTTTGACCCAACAATTCTACTTTCAGGAATTTATCTAATATACATACATATGTGTAAAATGACTTACATACAAGTTTTTCATTGTAGTCTTATTGATAATAACAGAAGTGTAGAGACTACCTGTGCCCACAAGCAGAAGGATTGGCTAAAGAAGTTACAATACATCAATAAAATGGAATGTTATTGGGGCACCTGGCTGGCCCAGTAGAGCATGTGACTCTTGATCTCACTGTGAGTTTGAGACCCACACTGGGCATAGCGATTACTTAAAAAACAAATAAATAAATAAATAAAGGAATGTTATGAAGTTGCAAAATAACATGAGGAAGCTCTTTATGTAGTTATGGAAAGATCTCCACAATACACTGTTTTACGTAGAACTCAAGATGCATAACTGTATAAGTCTGTGAAAGCAACCAGATTTCACGTTGTGTTGATTTAGATCAGGTGGAGGTTTTGTTTTATCTGGCTAATATTCCAACCATTGTGTGGACTTTTAAAAAATTTCTCTTTCCCTGACTTAGTCCATTTGGGCTGCTATAACAAAAATACCATAGTCTAGGTGGCTTAAACAACAAACATTTATTTCTCACAGTTCTGGAGGCTGGGAGTCCAAGATCAAGGCGCCTTCTTGGTTCTTCTTGCCTTGTCCTCACATGGCACAAGAGCTGAGGGAGCTCTGTAGGGCCTCTTTTATTATAAGGGCACTAATATTCATGAGGGCTTCACCATGTGACATAATCACTTCCCAAAGGCTCCACCTTCAAATACATTGGGGGTTAGTACTTCAACATATGAGTCTGGGTAGAGATGAACTTTCAATCTACAGCCCTCCCCAAAGAAGATAGTTTCTATCACTAAAAAAAAAAAAATCACATCGGGGTGCCTGGGTGGCACAGTCAGTTAAGCATCTGACTCTTGGTTTTGGCTCAGGTCATGATCTCGGGGTCCTGAGATCAAGCCCCACCTTGGGCTCCATGCTCAGCGAGGAGACTGCTTCAGATTCTCCCTCCCTCTCTCTCTGCCCCTCCCACTCGTGCTCACTCTCTCAAATAAATGAATCCGTTCTTTTAAAAAATCACCTCGGGCGCCTGGGTGGCTCAGTTGGTTAAGCGACTGCCTTTGGCTCAGGTCATGATCCTGGAGTCCCTGGATCGAGTCCCGCATCGGGCTCCCTGCTC